ATATTGCATGGTTAACTCTCCCACAAAAAGCGGTGTCCGACAAGGGTGTTCACTCTTTCCATTCCTGCTCAACTTTGTCACTGATTAAATAATGAGACATACGCTGGATGGTCTCCAAAAGCCGGTGTTCAAATTGTTGCTAGTGCGAATCGTGTCAGTCTGGGGGGGGGGGGGAAAGAGATTACGAAATTGTTGGTGTTGTACACCTTCCAGGATTGTGTCAATGTTGTCCCTTCCACGCTTGTCTGGAGACACGATTTTGGCTGGTCAATATCAGTGGCGTTTATGATGTCAGTTTTTTCTGGATCGCCTTATTGAGCGCTTGGATGTGTAGACACCTCGGAATGGTTCTGATAGGCCAGCACCAGGTCCCTCCCGCACCCGCTCTTCTTTTCTTTTCATTCTTAAGCATTAAAATGATTGCATGAACATTGTAGCAGTATGGTGGTGAAGCATCACTGTGAACACTGATATTACTATCTCCGATGATGTTTACGGTTCACTTATTCACTTACTCAGTCAATCAGAGAATGCTTGGTTACGAACGTACTTACCAGCTAACGAAATTGCTTACTTACTTACTTGGTTATCCAGTCGCTCACTTAACCATCTGCTTGCTTATTAAAATATTCACCAACTGACTTCATTATATACCTACTTAATTGCTTACTTACTTACTCACTTACCCACACTCGTTCATTCATTCATTCATTCATCCATTCATTCATTCATTCATTCATTCATTCATTCATTCATTCATTCATTCATTCATTCATTCATTCATTCATTCATTCATTCATTCATTCATTCATTCATTCATTCATTCATTCATTCATTCATTCATTCATTCATTCATTCATTCATTCATTCATTCATTCATTCATTCATTCATTCATTCATTCATTCATTCATTCATTCATTCATTCATTCATTCATTCATTCATTCATTCATTCATTCATTCATTCATTCATTCATTCATTCATTCATTCATTCATTCATTCATTCATTCATTCATTCATTCATTCATTCATTCATTCATTCATTCATTCATTCATTCATTCATTCATTCATTCATTCATTCATTCATTCATTCATTCATTCATTCATTCATTCATTCATTCATTCATTCATTCATTCATTCATTCATTCATTCATTCATTCATTCATTCATTCATTCATTCATTCATTCATTCATTCATTCATTCATTCATTCATTCATTCATTCATTCATTCATTCATTCATTCATTCATTCATTCATTCATTCATTCATTCATTCATTCATTCATTCATTCATTCATTCATTCATTCATTCATTCATTCATTCATTCATTCATTCATTCATTCATTCATTCATTCATTCATTCATTCATTCATTCATTCATTCATTCATTCATTCATTCATTCATTCATTCATTCATTCATTCATTCATTCATTCATTCATTCATTCATTCATTCATCATTTCATTCATTCATTCATTCATTCATTCATTCATTCATTCATTCATTCATTCATTCATTCATTCATTCATTCATTCATTCATCATTCATTCATTCATTCATTCATTCACTCACAGTCATTCGCCCAGGCGTTCATTTTCTCACTCTTCTACTTACACGCCTGCTTGCTTACTTAACTGACTTGTCTTTGTATTCCCATTTCTTATCCTAGCTTTACATGGATATGAGACCAGTGAATTAGCATAAGTACCAATTCCAGTTTATTCGTTTTGCTGTTGCCCTGTTTCTCGTTTTTTTGTGCAGTTGCTGTATTTTGCTTACCGTCTCGATGTGAAGCGATATGCAGTGTGAACGCTTCAAGGTTGGCTCCTCCATTTGCTGTACTATTAGCGGTGGTTGACAAGGACACGGCTTTTCCATGCACGACATGCATATACCTGAATAAAGACTTCCCTTTGTGAAACGTAATTTTCTTATACGCCTGATTGCACTTCCCATCGCCGAAATGCCCATTTGTGGGCAGTTAAGAGTGAAATTCCTCCACCTTAGTAACACAGTGAACAGCCAAATAGAATCCCTGAGCTCCGCACTAAAGACAATGCTATCTCTTTGGAAACTGTCAAGGGAGAACACTCATTCCGTGAAGACTACCTTGCGTCAGTTCCCCCAAAACGCGTTGCTGCAAAGCGTACTTTTGTCTTTTCCAGATATTGTAGTAATAAGATAGCAAATACACTGAGGAAGAAAGAATTGAGACACTGTCGTTTTACGTACCGAGCACATTTGGATAGCCCAACCGAGACTCTTTTGAGATAGTTCATGACCAAACTCTTCATCACTAGCCCTTAATAACTGAGTGATGGTCTCTGGATGCTCAACATTGCAATGATCCTGGTTGTTAAGAGTATCTGTCCTCAAGAACACTATTCCTGCCTTCAGAGAGTCTTTCAAAGGTATAACTACTTCACTGTTCAGTACCTGGACTGAAACAC